GCCAAAATGCGAAGGACTGCTCACAATGGAGTCAAACATGCTCTGGCAATCCTTTTGCAGAGCAGAGAAGGAATCTGCATGATGGACCATTAAATACTCATTAATGCGTAGAGCTCGTACATGAACTAAGACGAAGGAGAAAGCTAAGAGTTAACTTTATTGTCATTGCATTTACTATTATAAGAATTATTATCATTAATATTATTATTACTTTAATTATAACTATTTTTAGTATCTGCATGTTCACCTGTGCATATAAATTATTCAAGGCTTTTAAGTCTCTTTGCTTGCCTCAATATTCACAATTTTTCACATCGCTGCGTGTTCGAAGCACAAAAACACTTCATATACAATTAAATGTCTAAAAAAGATTGTGTGAAAAATTCGAGTGCTTGTAAAATAATTCAATTATTTTTCATATCGTCCACTCACTGAGAATGTGCTACAACAATAAAATAAAGTAAAATAAAAGAATTGGTATTCATTATAAAATACAAGCATATGGAATATATTGTCTGATATGCCAGGGACAACAAATCTTTATTGACATCAAATTTATTGCAATATTTACAGAGTACAGACGAGTCTGACATTCTTAGTTTGTTTGCTTTGCTTACTTTGCTGCGCACTTTAAAATTCATGTGCAATTTTCGCAGCTGGCGAATAATTTATTGATAGATGCTGTTCGACTTGAGTAGCCCTGAGCAGGAGACAGTTCGTAGAGTGCTTGAATTATTTGTGGTAATTTTAATACATTTTATTGATGCTCTTTCGACGAAATGAAAATCGCACTCAGCTCTTGATTATATTATTAAAGTGTTGAAATTAAACACTTCTAGCTTAACTCCTTAACTTGAGGAGGCGTTCAATAATTGAAAATCATATTGCCAGTGGAGAGCACTGTGTAAATGTTTATGGGGCTAGCAGCAGCCATATTTGAAAAGTAAAATTGAAAAGAACACCAACGGAAGCCACACACTTGAGGAGATTGCACAGAAATTGTGTGCGAAATTAAAAAGAGCTTGATGTTGAAATAAATTGAGCAAAATAGTGGCAGCTACTTAAGTGAAAATATTTTTTTTGGCGCTTGTAATAACTTGACTGCTGCTCTGGTATTATGTCCTCCACCGGCCGATGGAGGGAGAATACGAGTCGAAAAAGAGCAATATGAAAAGGGACTTAAGTGCAGAGAGTGTTGCGGCTTTGGGTGCAGATGCCGGCTGCCGGCTGCTAGCTGGCTCCTGCCTCCTGCCTGCGCTACTATATAAGCATTTGGGAGTGGGCCATGTCCTATGCTTGTGCTACATTCATACGTTTTCGATTAAGCGGCTCTGGACTGGTTCGACGCTGGCAGCCAACAAACACTTGCCAAAGGGATGCGGAAATTTACACAAAGACAGGATGTAGCAGAACTTGCAGTTGTAAGTGGCCAAGCTGCAGCCGAAATGAGGCGAAATTGCAACGTGCTAGCTGAGGCACCGAAAGGCCAAACACGTGGCTGTTGCCTGTGCCGTGGAGGCTCTGACTGACAGGCCATTAATTTTGGATTACCCGAGCACTACAGGCACCGCCACCAAATCCGACGGCTGGCGGGCTCCAGCCGAACCTACAAATTCACAAGCTTGCGGCTTGCCACTTAGCTGGGCTGTTAAGCATTTCATAATGCCCTCAACATGCCTAGTTTTCTTCCTTTCCATATATATTTTTTCTCGTTGCCTCTTGGCCAGGTCGTTAACGTTAATGACAACTTAAGTGGTCATATATAATTTCTGAAAATTACTTCTACCTGTGCAACAAAGTGGCACAAAGCAGCAAACTGCGCTATTATTGCAAGGATAATAAGCTGCAGTGCGAGGATTGCTGTACTCGTAAAGTAAAATATAGCTCGCTTTTAATTACAGCTTTGGCAAATTGAATGGCCAAAAACAATATTCAAATGCCATAAATGTCAACAAGCAGCTGGAATCAAAGGTAAAATCGTTTGGAATGAATACCATTTGCATTGCAAGTCGTCCTCAATGCCCGAGTAAACACTTGGTCAGACTTCAAAAGTTTCGGCTAGTTTAGTTGGAAAAAGTATTTACTTTCCTTTTTGTGCTGTTCGGCATAATGCGACGAGTGTGTCAATATTCAAGATATTTCACGGCTGAATACGTATTGGCTTTCATCAAGAAATCAAGAGCTGGGTAAACAAACAGTTCAGAGCAAAATTTAAGGAAATAAATTGATATATGAAATAATATAAATACAAATAAAACATGCAAACAGAATTGAGTCCAAGCGAAAGCAAAATACGCTAGCGCTTAGTAGTTTAATATCCGAGCAGGTTTAATGTATTCAAAAAATCGATAAAATATGCCTCGGTATATGGACTATACATTATTCATAGGCTTATCGGCTGAGGAGACCGAAAATATATAATATATTGAGACCTGAGCAGTTATTAATTTGGCACTCCCACATCAGGCAGTGAGTGATATAGACTTTATAGGATAACAGAACTTTATGTAGCTTCCTGGACAGACTATTTATTTTATAAATACTATTTATTTTATAAATATTGTGATAGCACATATACCATTTTCCATTTCGTCGAAATGCTTAACGACAAATTATAAAAGAGTATCCATAAAGGGTAAATAGCCTGAAGGATATATTGCACGAAGTGCACATACACAACATAAGTTATAGACTTTAATAAAATTTTAAATAAATGAGTTCGGGCAAGAAAGCTGTTATATACATTTCAAAAAGCAGAAAATTGGTTAAAGTGCGTTTTGGGGCATCTTAAAAATATAACGTATACCCTTTGGAGCCACGTAACGCATTCGCCCAGTTGTCCAAACTACTTTCGCCTAATTTATCTTGTTGTCAGCCTGGCAGCAACAAATGCAGCCGCAATAGTTGAATTACTTCACATATAACCGAACACCCACACACACACAGAGAGAGAGAGAGAGAGAGAGAGAGAGAGAAAGAGAGAGAGAGAGAGAGAGAGAGGAACACAGAGACACACAGACTCATGGGCAGGTGGCGTAAAGTGCTAGAAAGTGTAACTGGGTCGTTGGTAAGTAACTAAGTAGGCGAACTAAAAGCAAAAGCAAAAACAGCCGAGAAAAGTTTTTCACTCGATGTTACAGCTTTTTTGGGGCCAACGAGATAAAATGGACACACCTTATGTGTTTTCTGTTCGGGGCCAAGTGTGAAATAAAGTGAAGAAAATTGCAGGTAGCTACACACACACACACACACACACATACATGGGTGCCTACCAACTGCTGCCTACTTATAAGCAGCCAACTCAGCCTGAGCGAAATGCCATAGCAATTTGTTAGCGGGTCGGTGGAGCATCGTGCAAATGTAATTTACTGGTTGCTCTTGCCTCATGCCGCCAAAAGAATGTAGCCGGAATTTATTTGCGGCTATTTGGTAAAGTGAAAGCAAATTCAAGTCTGCACATACAAAGAAAAAAAAAAAAAAAGAAAATGCCAAGCCATGCTTTAAGATCAGGAAAAAAAACTAGCAAATCGTTAAGTACCTAATTAAACATTCGATTTAAAGCTTTTACTTGAAAAGAATATCCTTAAATATGTCGAGCCTATATAAGCGAATAGCGCAAAACATATATTTACGATAAATAAATATATACATGCATATGTATATATGAAGCCCAAGTCTCAGAATTCCCAGTCGCTTATTCAAATGTATTTTAGATCGCACTGCCAAACATTTCCGTTGGCTTCGTCTAAATGTCGTGACGGCTCTTGTCCTGTTAGCAACAAGCGAGAAATCGTTGAGGCACGACTGAGGCAAGTACACTGAAAGAAATCGTTTTTAAAACTGAATTTTAACATAGATAAATATTTATTAAATTAATA